AATCTTCATATCTAGTGCTGCATCACCTATTTATTGAAAAAATAAATAAATCTGTTATCATAATGGAATAAGCATTAGTGTTTATATCTTATATGTGTTTCCTGCTTATGAAAGAACAGTGTTTAGAAACATTGCTGATGATTATTTAAGTATTTCTATGTGAAGGCATTTATGTATTCTATGTTTGTTTGTGGTTTCCATTTTAATCTTAAAAGCAAGCTTTAATTTCCTATTTAGTTTACATATAAGCTACTTTGGGTTTCATTTTCAATTTTAATGTTATCAGGCATAAATATGAATGCTACAAAGACCTTGTAAGTAAGTCAAAGCTGGCTCAAGTGGGTTTATTCAGTTGCATAAACTTCAATTCCAAACTTGTACTTGGTTTTAGGAAAGATGTAATCACGCTGTGAAGCTGAGCATTATTTCTCACATAAAATAGTTTGAAAAATAACCCACTCATGGGAAACTTGGTATTAACTATTCAGATACTTTCAAATTCTCTCTAATCAAGAAAATATATTTGGATGGAAGAAGGCCAGGATAGCCAGCATAGGCTTCTGAGTATAATGTAGGGAATTTGAAACATCATGAAAGTGGCATAAGATGTTCCTTTACCTTTCAACAAAAGGGGCAGGGGAACAGGCATTGTGGTACAGAGGGTAAGTCATCATTTAGGACACCCTTTCTCACATAAGAGTGACAAATTTTTAATTCTGCTGCTTCCACTTCATGGCCATATTGCTGCTAAAGTGCATTCTGGGAGGTAGCAGTTGATGGCACTTGTTATCTGGTCACTGTCACTCACATAGGAGACCCAGATAAAGTTCTAGCTTGTAGCTCCAGTCAAACTCAGACCTGGCTGTTGTAGGCATTTGAGAAGTGAACCAGGGGACGTAAAGACTCTTTTTTCTCGATATCTCTTGCTTTGCTTTTCAAATCAGATGAAAAATAAGCAAATAAACAGTGTGAAGAGATCAGATACCTACATGCAGAAAAATGAAATTAGACCCCATCTATTATCACATACAAAAAACAACTCAAAATGGATTAAAGACGTAAATGTAATACCTAAATCTTTGAAACACTAAAATAATACACAGAGAAAATGTTCAGGACATTGGAACTGCCAAGGGTTTATAGAACAGACCCAGAAGCACAGTAAAAATACATAAATAGAATTTATCAAATTACAAATCTTTTTTTTTCTTCTGCATTGCAAAGGAAATAATCAACAGAGTGAAGAGATAATCTATAGAGTATGAGAGAATATTTGCAGGCTGTACATTTGACAAGGGGTTAATACCTAAAATATATCAGGAATTCAAGCAATTCAATAGCAAAATAACAATGGTAACTAAATTCCCATTTAAAAATGGACAGTAAGGGCTGTCATTGTGGAGCAGTGGGTAAAGCCACTACCTGTGATGCCAGCGTATGGGTGCTGGGCTGCTCCACTCCTGATCTAGCTCCTTGCTAATGACCTACAAAAGCAGTGGAAGCATCACTGGACTTAAAAATAGGCCAGTTGAGATTATACAGTTTCATAAACAGTAGAAAAATATTAGCAGAGCACCACAGCCTGTGGAACACATGCCAAAACATGTCAATGAACACATAATAAGAGTCTCAAAACAAGATGAATAGAAAGGTAAAATGATATAAGAAATAATAGCTGACAATTTATCAGATTTGATTAAAAGTTATAAAAGGAGTCTTCAATAAGCTTATGGGATTCAAATTATGAAAAAATTGTGTGAATTCCAAACTTTTTACACCAAAATAAACTTATATTTGGTATCATTTTTCTGTGGTTTTTAAAAGTACCTCCAATATTACTCTGCATATCAAAAAGCCCCAAGTAGGAGAAACTCAAAAACATCCATGCCTAAACACATCATAATCAAACTTTCAAAAGAAAAACACATAAGGAGAATTCTCAAAGAGGTAAGAGTAAGTGGTACTTCACTCATAACTGACCCTCAATAACATTAACAAATTCTTATTAGAAAACATGGAGGCCTAAAGCAATTGGATGGTATAGTCAAAGTGCTGAAATAAGACTGCCCAACAACACTATCTGTTCTCGTGGACTTGTGAGACAATATTTATTCTCATAGTCTTGTGATGTGGCAGGGACATCTGTGCACACTGCACTGTATTCTCTTAAAATGTATAATTACCTAGATGTGCAATGCAATATTTCTGCACAGCAAAAAAATAATAAACAAATCATTTGGCTAAAATATAAGTGGAAAGGGCATTGAATTAAGAGCAAGATGACATAGGTTAAATATTATAATTACACACATATATTTTGTATTAATATTATATAAACATGTATGTATTCTGAAGAAATTCTCACTTCACAGGTTTTTGATCATATTTAAAGATATAGTATATGAGTACTTTGTAGTTTATAAAAAAACTCATTGTTGTTATTTTACCTTACAGAAAATCATGATTTGTCTAGAGAATCTTTTCAGAAATGTATCATTAAAACTTATCTACGATCATCATATAGAGGAATAAAATACTCGACCATATAAAAAGAATGAAATCCTGTCTTTTGCAACAAAATGGATGCAACTGGAAACCATTATGCCTAGTGAAATAAGCCATTCCAAAAAGACAAATATAGTATGTTTTCACTAAGTTGTGGTAATTTATAGAGTACCACAAAAAATGTAATGTTTATGAGTGAAATTGACATTTTGAGATTTCATTATTGTTAACAGCCCTTGTCTATATTCTTGAGAAATAGTGGTTTTTCCACTTACTACTTGTTGAATTCTTTATTTGGAGGTTAAGCTTGTGATTATAAAACAAAGTATATCAAAATTAAAATAACAAATAAGAAAGGAAGAAAGGTAGGAGCCTGGGAGGGAGGGAGAGTGGAGTAGCAAGTATGATTATGATATTAAATCTGTATATGTAATCCATGAAATTTGTTCACCTTATATAAATACATTTTTTTTAATGTGCTGTGGAACAGGACATGAAAGTGGAATGATTCTTTAGCTGAGTTCTGTAGAAAGAAAGTATGGATAATACAGTCCTTGTGCATATATCCTAGATGGGGCTAAAAGGCTCCTGTCTCTCAGTAGCCTTTCTGCCTCCCCTAGAAACTTATCTGCATTCTGTTTAGTCTTATAGTCTTCTCTCCTAATACTACATGGGAAGGGACTTACCTCTAAAAGAAATTCTCCCACTGCAAGAAACTTGTGTGGCCAATTGTTTTCTCCTGGTGCATGTTTATCATCTTTTTTAAAAAAAGATTTATTGATTTATTTGAAATTCAGAGTTATACAGAGAGAGAAGGAGAGGCAGAGAGAGAAAGAAAGGTCTTCCTTTGCTGGCGCATTCCCCAGTTGACCGCAATGGCCGGAGCTGCGCTGATCTGAAGCTGGGAGCCAGGAGCTTCTTCTGGGTCTCCCACACAGGTGCAGGGGCCCAAGGACCCAGGTCATCTTCCATTGCCTTCCCAGGCCATGAAAGAGAGCTGGATTGGAAGTGGAGCAGCCAGAAGGACTTGAACTGCCACCCATATGGGATGCCGGCACTGCAGCCAGCACCTTTACCTGCTATGACACAGCACTAGCCCCATTTATCATCTTCTTCCTCAGCACACAAATTTGCTGACGTATCTTCCATTAAAAAAAAAAGGCAAACTTTTTTTGACTTTATATTTTCCCTTCAGTGAGAGGTTTTTCTCTGTCTTCCCTTCATGGCTGAACATTTCAATTTATTCCTTTAAACATATTCTCCCTACTTTTCACCTCCCATTCATAAAGTCATTAAAGTCCTGAAATTTCTAATTGGGACATTATTGGCAAAAATTAACCAATGGCCAACTTGACATTAAAGTCTACAAAAGTTTATAGTTATTTAATTCTCTATGGAGTTCAAGGACAGACTGAGCTAGAAGTGCATTTGGAACTTTTAAATAGAAATGTGAATAGATATTTTCATTTGGAGATCTAGAGCTAAGGAGAAAAGTCTGGGCTCCTAAGATAGATCTGGGAGTCTTTATTGAAGCCATGGAATAAGAAGAGATAGGACAAAGAAAAGAATCCTTGAAAATACCAACACTTACTAGATCAGCACAGGAAACACAGTCCATAAGGCCACTAGAGAAGGGAGTATGGTAATTTTAAAATACATTTTTGGTCATAGACTATGACCTTGTCTAAACAAGATAAGAGTCGGAGAACTCAAGGGGCTTCCATAGCCTTGGAAACTCATGACTGGTGCATAGGGAGATTACTGATGCCATAAACAGGAGTGTCAATTTGTAAAGTCAACAACAGGAGTCACTGTGCACTTACTCCTCATGTAGGATCTCTGTCCTTAATGTGCTGTACACTGAGGCTTAATGCTATAACGAGTACTCAAACAGTATATTTCACTTTGTGTTTCTATGGGGGTGCAAACGATTGAAATCTTTACTTAATGTACACTAAACTGATCTTCTGTAAAAAAAAAAAAAAAGAAATTATCAATTCCCAACTTGACTCTCACTGGGATTAAACATGACAATAGGTCTGATCTGATTTCATCATGATTTAAAAAAAAATCATCTATTATTTTTCACTTTATGTTTCTGTGTGGGAACAAACTGTTGAAATCCTTACTTAAGGTATACTAAGCTGATCTTCTGTATATTAAGATAATCGAAAATGAATCTTGATGTGAATGGAAGGGGAGAGGGAGTGGGAAAGGGGAGGGTTATGGGTGGGAGGGACGGTATGGGGGGGAAAGCCATTGTAACCCATGAGTCGTACTTTGGAAATTTATATTCATTAAATAAAAGATAAAAAAAATAAAATAAAATACATTTTTGGTACTCCTTAGACCTCTGATTGGCTTCCTTTCAAAATACATCACTGAGTTGTTTCTCCTTAGCAGTGAGCAGGACTTAGTGACTTTCTGAAGAGAGAAATATGACTCATGCATTACTAAATGATTTGAGACCATGTCAGGACAAATATAGTTTTTACCTTGCTTCCCCAATTTTTGAATCTCTGGTTTTGATTGAAGCCAGATACCATGTCATGAAGATGCTCAAACTGTAGTGAGGAGGGGCCACCTGGAGAGGAAAGAACTTGCCAAGCGGCTGAGCATGCCAACTTCCCAACAGACCCTCCTGCCTCAGTTCCAGTGATTCCAGACCTTCAGGCTTCAATCCTTTCAGCTGAGATCTCAGACAGCCTGAGGAACAAGCACCTCTCCTGTGCCTTGCTGGGATATTTAACTTTCTGTAACCTGAAATGATGAATAGTGATTATCATATAGCACATTCTCTATGCTGAATAACAATCCTTCCAAATTAAAGGAAAAATTAAGACTTTCCAAGAGCACAGAATTGATGGCCTCGTGAATGAATGATATCAACATTTAAGGAAATAGTACTTTTCACAATCTCTAGCAGAAAAAAGAAAACTTGTAAAGGGGCCCCGACACGTGTCACAGGCATCCCACATGGGCGCCAGTTGAGTTCTGGCTGCTTCCCTTCTTATACAAATTCCTACTAGTGCACCTGAGAAAGCAAAAGATGGCCCAATCCTTGAACCCCTACATCCACTTGGAAGACCCCAACAGAGTTCTGAGCTCCTAGTTTTGGCATGTCCCAATCCCAGCCATAACAACCATTTGGGGCATGAACCATTTAAGATCTCTGTCTCACCCTCTCTCTGTAAATCTGCCATTCAAATAAACAAATAAATCTTTTAAAAATAGCCAAAGTGATTAACAGAATAAAAGTTTTTTTTAAAGGCATGAAGCATGCATTTTTTAAGCTAATTTAAATGGATATCTATGGGCCGATGCTGTAGCATAGTGGGTAAGACCGCTGCCTGCAACGCTGGAATTCATTTTAGGAATTAGTTTGAGTCCCAGCTGCTCCACTTCCAATCTAGCTCCCTGCTGGTGTGCCTGGGAAAGCAGCAGAGACCAGCACCCACATGGGAGACCCGGAAGAAGCTCCTGTCTTCAGCCTGGCCTATCCCTGGCTGCTGCAGCCATCTGGGGAGTGAACCAGCAGATGGAAGATCTCTTTCTCTCCCACTCTCTGCAATTCTGACTTTCAAATAAATCAAATAAATCTTTTAAAGAAATGAACACCTGGTGCCGCAGTATAATAGGGAAGGAGACAAACCTGGACCCTGTCCCCACAGAGCTTATGTGGAGTTACGACTATTAACTCAAACCCACTCCTTGAGGAAAATGACTAAAAGTGTACTCACTAGCAAGACAGAGACATGTTAGCCCTATAGCACGATGCCTGGCACAGTGGGAGCCATACACGGCAAATGTGCCCATTGGAAGGATTTTTCATAGTCTGAGCTGTTAATCATCAAGCACAAAACCAGAGGTGATCACAGAGAGCAGCAGACTTCTAAGCAGCCTAGATGGCAGAAAGTACAGAAGGAAGGGCCTAATTGGATATCAGTCAGATCTGTGACTTCTGACTCTGGTCTAGTCATTTTTAAGTGCCACTACTTTTTTTTGTTCTCTTGAGATTGAATTCCTGGCTTCACATTTGCAATCAACCTATCTTAATTAAATCCCTCCTATAGATTTGAATTTACTTGCCATCTGGAATGCAAGAGCAACTCTGAGACTTTTAACTTGATTGGGGTACAAGCCCTTTTGTTTGGCCCTGGTGCTGGTTGGCAGCCCAGCCCTGTTGCTGCTGTCTGGGGCAAACTTCCCTTCAGACTACAGTCAGCAAAACGAGACATCATGAAAAGTGCTGATGTCTCAGCCACTGCAACCCAAAACCACTTAATTAATATACAGGTTTAATGCATTTGGTAATTAAAATTTAATCCTTTTAAGATATACAATAGAAACAACTCTTATTGCAAGTATTTAATCCATTGTCCTACTAAGAAAGAAGTAGAAGAGGGAATTGAAATGGGATCCTTCCTCCTTTTTAAGCATTAATCACAACAGGGATCAGTAAAACGATAACATGTGCTAGCCCTGGTTGATTGATCACTTTTCTTGTTATGTGTTTAAGGTTTCCACTTTGTAGAGACAACTTTTTGTTTTAATTGCTGAAAACTTGTGCATGCAGAGATGCCCCCTAAGAATATGGATTATCATTGCATTGTTAACAATATTACAAGACATTTAAACTAACCTGAAACAAGAAATAAGAGGATTATTTATCAGCAGAATTAGGCTCCAAACCTCACTTTCTCTCTTGAGATTTCAGGTTTAAATAATTTACCAAAGAGTTCATATTATGCCAATATACCTGTTTGATAACAAAGCGTAAAGTTTAGCAGAATTTTGGTTCCTAGTTTTGTCTTGCCCAAAACAAACAAAAAGAACCTCCTGTCAAATTTGAGAAATGTCTTTCATGTTCACTCTAGAAGAAACACAATTCACATTAGCAACTGGAAAAATCCTGCAGCATAACTCAGAAGAAGAAACAAAGTATCTTTCTTAGTTTATTTGCAATATTTCCAATTTTTTTAAGCTACAGGACTTTTAGAAAATGACACCCACTGATATTCTTGCAGAATATTAGAAGAAACATATTTAGAGAAACACTCAAATCCTCTCTCTCCTCCCAAACTTTGGCATTGGTTCATTTAGCAAAGCAACTAATGTGAAAGTGCTTTTGTCCTACAGTAATTCCTTTTGTTCACTACATATTTACTCACTATATGCACAAAAATCTGAGTACAAAAATATTTAAACAAGACTATATGCAATGACCCTAAACTATAAACACTCTAGTATCCTTTAACTGTAGAATGCATGAATATATATGCTATAAGCTTTCAGTGGAATACTACAGTAATCAAAATAAACAATGACTTATGACATGACTATACAGGCAAATCATATGAACTTAAAACTGCACCTGGGCCGGAACTGTGGTGCAGTGGATTAACACCCTGGCCTGAAGCACTGGCATCCCATATGGGCACTGGTTCGAGACCTGGCTGGCTGCTCCACTTCTGATCCAGCTCTCTGCTGTGTGGCCGGAGAAAGCAGTAGAGGATGGCCCAACTCCTTGGGTCCCTGAATCCACATGGGAGACCCAGAAGAAGCTCCTGCCTCCTGGCTTCGGATTGGCGCAGCTCTGGCTATTGCAGCCATTTGGGGAGTGAACCACTGGATGGAAGACCTCTCTCTCTCTCTGCCTCTCCTCTCTCTGTGTAACTCTGACTTTCAAATAAATAAACACATAAATAAATAAATAAATAAACTGCACCAAAGTTGAGGATACAGAGCAATATATAATGTTCAAAATTGAGTTTCAAAGACAAAATCTCATGCTGAAGACCTAACCAGAACCTTAGAATATGACTTTATTTGGAAATAGAATCATTGCAGACATAATTAAGTAGGATGAGGCCATATGATTGGTGTCCTTAAAAAAGGGGTAAATTTGAGCACACAGAAAGAGGAGAGAGAGAAATGAGGGAGAGAGAAAGAGAAACACTGTGTGAATATGGAGGCAGAGATCCGTTTGACAACTCAACAAGCCAAAGGAAGCCAAAGATTGTCAGTAAACCATCAGAGGATAGGAAAGTGGCATGAGGACTCTATCACGGTCCTCAAAAGGAACCAACCACGCTGACACCTTGATTTTAAGCTCCTTATCCTCAGACCTAGGACAGTACATTTCTGGTATGCCCCCTCATTTTCCTGTCTGCTGGTACCAGCAGTCCTAGAAACTATTACAATAGGCAAAACCAATGCACGGCACAAGAAATCAGGACAGTGACTACCTTTGGGTTGGTAAGGGGAGAGGGGGTGACCAGTGACATGTAGAGAGCAGAAGCTGAAGAGTGTAGCCATGTGCTTCTAGGGAGCTGACCTTCATCATGATATGAATGGTAATTATTGACAGAATCTGTCAGGTCATTGAGTACAAAGTTAACCCAAACCTGGTAGAATTCTTACTGCCCCAGCAATAGCTTTAACAAGGGTCCCACCTGGGATCTTTTAAAACAGCACAACAATACATTGTAAAGGAGCAGCTGCATGTCCAATTTCCCCTTATCACAGTCAGCAATCACTGATGGGGCTTTCCAAATACCTTGGCTCCCTACGGAACTAGCTTACAAGGATCCCAAGCTTGAACAGGTGGGCTGAAGTCTCGCCCGGCTATGCAGACCTTCTAAAACAAGTCTTTCTGCCTCCACCAGTCATTTCCGCACTTTCTTCAGACCAACATCTTAATCCTAACAGTTACATATCTGGGCACTTTTATGAAAGCTAAACCAACTGTACTCAGAATTTGCATATTTTTCAGTTTGTAAATTATACTTCTAGAAGTGCATTTTTTTTAAAAAATCTTATTTAAATTATACAGATTTCATGTATTTTATAAAAACAGATTTAGGAACCTAAGGACATTTCCTCTCATCCCTTCCCTTCATCCCTTCCCCCTCCTCCCTCCCAATTTCCACTCTTAATTTTTACAAAGATCTATTTTCAGTTTACCTAACGTCATATAGTTAACCCTACACTTAGTAAAAGAGTTCAACAAATAGTATGAAAAAAGAACCACTTTCCTCAATGGATGGGGCTGTAAACCATCATCGAATCTCAAAATGTCTATTTCACTCCAATATATTACATTTCAGATACCCTACTAGTTACTTCAGATCAGGGAAAACATGCAGTTTTAAAAGATGAGATGTTTGCTAATGAACAGGCAGGAATGTTGTCCTTGAGAAACTTTCAGTGTAGAGGGAGATGCCTACAAGGCACAAGGAAATCATGATAGTGAAATAAATTCTGATAAAGAGTTCAATACATGTGCAACAGAAACAAACACTGCCTTATCTTAGGGGTTGGGGGTGGAGAGTGGACCATGAGGATAAACTTCCCAGAATTTAATGTTAGAAAGCTGGGACTTGAAGAATGAGTTCAAAATAGTAATAACAGTGTGTTCAAAAGTAAGGAAAAAGGAATAAAAAGTAAAAATATGTCAGAGCGAGCATGTTTAAGGAACTACCAGCTTCTTCATCTGGGTGATAAAAGAGCAGAAGGGAAGTTCTGCAGTGAGAAGAAGCAAAAGGAATAAGCAACAGGTAAAAACAAAACAGAACCCAAGAAGGCACAATGGATTGTAGGCATGGCTACAGCTTAACTGGAAATAAAACAATTTTATTACTTCAGATATTAAAAAAGAAACATATATATTCAGAAAAACATAATTTTGCCTTTGCAAGGGAAACTGAACTCTGAAAATTTTAGGATTCTTTGTTCAAACTAATCACAGGGCTTACATT